CGCAAGACATCCCAACAGGCCCCGAGGAGGAGCCAGGACGGCCCCAGACGGCCCCAAGATAACCCAGGGAACTCCCAAGAGGCCCCCCAATGGCCTTGAGGATTAAACCCAATTGACCCTTCGAGTCCTCCACCCCAGGCCCCAGGACAACCCCAAGAGGCCCCCCTAGGCCCCGAAGAGATCCCCAAGAGGTCCCCAAGAAGAACCAAAGAAACCCTAGGAAGGCTCCCCAGAAGCCCCCAAGAGCCCAAATGCCCCAAGAGGCGCTTACTCGCGCGCTGCCAGGCAAGACGTGCATTGTATGACGTGGTCTTGCTCGGACACGAGTCGCGGTGGTCGTCGCCGCCGCCGTCGTCGTCGTCGTCGTCGTCGTGTTTGTGTTCGTGTTCTCGTGTTCATCGTCGTCATCGCCGTCGTCATCGTCGTCGCCAATAGTCGTCGTTACTCCATTCGTCGGTCGTCGTCGAAATATCCCGCTGGCTGATGGTTGGTCGTCCGTTGTCGTCGTCACCGTCCGTTCCCGATAACATCAGGGGCGCCCCGGATCGGCGGCACTGGCTGGAGGCCACTACAATACAGATATATAATTTTATATATACACACGTGTTTATCGATTGATATAGATGTATACATATATGCGTGTATATATTTATGTTCGGACTATTTGTGTGTTGAACATATGTGCATACGCGTTGCATCATCCATGTCGGTTATACTTGTTTGTGTGCGTACATCCATGTTTGTATGTGATGTGGTGTGCATGTGTGTACATTTGTATGCATATAATGTATGTATCCACATGTATTCATGCATATGTATGTATGTATGTATGTATGTATGTATGTATGTTTGTATGGAACACAGTTTACATGTATGTTTGTATGTATGGGTATGCATGTATGTATGCATGCAGGCATGTATATACGCACGTGTGTATGTATGGATGCATGGATACGTGTACGCATGCATGCATGCATGCATGCATGCGTGTATACATGTATGCATGCCTGCATGTCTGCGTGTATGCATGTAGGCCTACGTGCATGTATGCATGTATGCGTGTATGTATGCATGCATGTATGTATGGATGCATGTGCGTACGTACGGATGCATGCATGCATGTACCAATGTATGTATATATGGTCGAGGGTTTGGTTGGCCCCCCCAGTGCTAATGCCATCGGCCGCCCCCCCCCCCCGCGCGATGGTCTCCCCCCCCCCTCCCCCTGTGGATGTGGGTGGGTGTGGTGTGTTGCTGTGTGTGTGTGTGTGTGTGGTGACCCAATGTCCCCCCCCCCCTCCCCCACTGTAGGTGTGGTGTGCTCCTCCCTGTTCACTTCGTCCCCCCCGCTCGCTTCCCCCCCCTCCCATGGCGGCGGCGCCGGGCACAGCGCGGCTTCGGCCCGGTGCTGGGCACTGCACCTTGCCGCTTCGGCGGCCCCGCTTGCCTTGGGCAGCGCGGCTCAGGCCTGGCCCTTGGCCATGTGGTCGTCAGCGCACCGTGTGTGGCACCCGCCCGTCTTCACGCGCTGATTGTGCAGGTCAGGTTTCCGCCCTGCATACCACCGACATCTAGAGTCGGACACGGACGGCCCTGTTTCTGGCCGCGCCTCTTCCTAGCTGCTTCCTGGACGTGGATTGGACTACCACCCCAGGCCGCTTCCGAGCATCCTATGGCGCAGCGCTGCACATCGCCTTCGTGGTCCTCCTCATCTCCTGGGCCCCTCCTCACCATCTGGTGGCACAACGTTGTTCACCGCCTTCATGGTGGACTTCTTCCCCCTGGACGTCGACCTGGTCGCGTTCATCCTCACGCAGCATTTGAAAATGGTGTTTACGATGCGCCGCCGACGGCAACACCACACTGCTCACCCTCCGGGACTTCGCCTCCGGCTCCTGTCCAAGGCGTTCCTTTTCCTGCGCAAATTCCTCAGCACCGCCTGCACCCCGGCCCGCCCTCTGGCCGCCTGAGGCCCCGCCCGCCTATGCTCTGTCTCCCCAATTAGTGCTTTGCGCGGCCCGCCTAGCTCGTAACCGGAAGAGGCTCGCTCTTGACCCGCAGACCAAAAAAGTGGGTGCGGTGTGGGTGTGCGTGTGGCTGTGATTGTGGTGTCATGCTGACGTGCTTTCGGAAAGCTCCGGTGCTCGACGTCGTCGCCGCCGCCGCCGCCGGAGCCGTCGTCGTCGTCGTCGTTGTCGTCGTCGTCGGCGTTGTCGTCGTCGTCGTCGTCGTCGTCGTCGTCGTCCGTCGTCGTCGTCGTCGTCCGTCGTCGTCGTCCGCCGTCGTCCGTCGTCCGTCGTCGTTGTCGTCGTCGCCGTCGTCGTTGTCGTCGTCGCCGTCGTCGTTGTCGTCGTCGTCGTCGTCGTCGTCGTCGTCGTCGTCGTCGTCGTCCTGCTCCTCCTCCTCCGCCTCGTCCTCCTCCTCCTCCTCCTGCCCCCCCCCATCCCATCTGGGGGAGGGGGGGGGGCCCGACGACCCTGGTACCTATCCCATCTGGGGGGGGGGGCGTGGGCCCGGAGCCCGCGATCATATATACATATGTGCATGCATGTATGCATGTATGAATGTATGCAGGCATACGTGCATGTATGCATGTATGCATGTATGCATGTATGCATGTATGCATGTATGCATGTATGTATGCATGCATGCATGCATGCATGCATGCATGCATGCATGTATGTATGTATGTATGTATGTATGTATGTATGTATGTATGTGTGTACGTATGTGTGTATGTGTGTATGTGTGTATGTAAATGTATATATATATATACATATCCATCTATATGTATATATATATATATATGAATGCCTGTTTTTAGATATACACATATGTGTCGTTGTGCTGCCCAGTCCTTCTCCCTTCTGCGTGCCCTAACGGGCTTCCTGGGTCCCGAGGTGCCTGGTGCCAAAGCCTCCGCCTGCAGAGGGGACGCGCGGCACCAACGACGATGAGTGGACGCGGCCATGGCCAAGGCTGGTGCAGAGAGCACGCGGGCAAAATTGGGCGTTGGTTGCTTCATAGGGGGGGCAATAGTTAAGTTTGGGGGGAGAGAACGTGCACCTTTCGTGCCCCTTTTGGGCCCCTGTCGAACACAACAAGTGGACCTTTCCTCGCCCCCCATTGCGCAACGCCCGAAGCAAGACATGCGAAGCAAGCCGGGGCTGCCGCTGCCGCCGTGCACCCTGGCCCAGTCGAAGGCCTTGGCGGTTGATGGCTGGTGGTGGGAGCGCAGGGGCGTGGGGCCCACAAGGGCGCGACCCTCGGATCATTCCGAGCGAGGTCAACGGACCAGAAGGGGAGGGATCTATTGCTCGAAGGCCATGCCAGTGTCGAAGTTACGAAACGCTGAACTCCACCGAGAAGACTACGAAAATGAAGTCGAGCGCAACGACCTGGAGAAGCACCACGACGATGCGAATCGCACCGCCACCGACGCTGCCACTGCTCAGTTACGTCCCGAATGCCGATGCCCACGAGTGGCCGCCAGGGAGAAAGTGGAGAAGGATCAGAAGGAACCGTTCCGCCCGCTTGCTGGAACCCCCGAGAAGTACCTTCCTCCTGATACTCCTCCTCCTCCTCCTCCTGATCCCCCTCCTCCCCAAGGCACCCTCCCCCCTCCTCCTCCGGATCTTCCTCCTCTCCTGATCACTGATCATCCTTCTCTGGGCCCCGGGCGCCCTCCTCCTCTTCCTCCTCCTCCTCCTCCTCATCCTGATCCCTGATTCCCACCAGCCCTCTGGGCGTAGGTGGTCTAGAGCAGATCCTCTTCCACCCCTCCCTCTTCCACCTTGGGGAGGGGTTTACCCCTCCCCCTACCCCCTCCCCTGGACCTGGACGGGGGGGGCCGCGGCGCGTTGGAGCGTCCAAGATGGCCAAAGATGGCTTCAAAAGCGCCTCAGAGAGCCCAAGATGAGCTCCGAGACGGCTCACGATAGCGCAAGATCGCTCACGATGGCTCCCAAGATGCTCCAAGAGGCCCCAAGACGATCCCAAGACGGCTCCAAGTGGCCAAAGAGCTCCCTAAGGAGGCCCCGACGAGGCCAACATCGTCCCAAAACCTGAGGAAAAACAATGTTTTTTGCTTTCTCGCCTTTTCGCTTCCGATGAACATCCGAGGCCTCAATATGGCTCCAAGATGGCCCAAAAGGGCCCCACGAGAGGCCCAAGAGAGCCCCAAGACGGCCCCAAAAGCGCCCAAGAGCGCTCCAAGAGCGCTCCAAGAGGGGCCCAAGAGGCGATTTATGGGGCTCCCGAGGGGGGAGGCTAATTGGAGCTCCCCTCTTGTTTGATCGACTCCCTCCAAGATGGCCCCAAGAGCGCCCCTACAGCCCCCAAGAGCGCCCCAAGAGCGCCCCAAGAGGCGCCAAGACGTCCCCAAGAGGCGCCCAAGAGGCCTCCAAGAGGCTCCCAAGAGACCCCCAAGAAGCCTCAAGAGGATTTCCGAAAAGGCATTCAAGACGCTTCTGGCTCTTCGGTTCGCCGTCCTCTTCCTCTTCCTCTTCCTCAACCACCTCTTCCTCTTCCTCCCTCCTCCTCCTCCTCCCCCTCCTCCTCCTTCTCCTCCTTCTCCTCCGTCTCCTCCCTCTGCTCCTTCTCCTCCTTCTCCTCCTCCTCCTCGCCCTACTCCATATCCTCCTCATTCTCCTCCTCCTCCTCCTCTTCCTCCTCCTCCGACGACGACGATTCCTCTTCCATCCTCCCCCTCTCGGGGTCTGTGACAGCTTCCCCCGCCCTTTGTTATTCTGCATGCTCCCCGACTTCCCTGATCACCTCAACTCCCCTGAGCATCGTTTCTAGATGGGCTGGTGGGGATACTTTCTTTTGTTACAGCCGCAGGCGGAAGCGCCAGCGGCGGAAGGTCGCGAACGGGCCGCGGACGCGACTAAAGGGCTGGTGGGGATACGCGACGCGTCAACAATCTCTTCCTCCTCCTCCTCCTCCTCCTCCTCCTCCTCCGCGTGACGTGGTCGGCCGGCGCGCCCCAGCAGGCCCACGTCCTGGTCGAGCTGCGCAAGCTCCCGCTTCAGAACTTCGTACTCCTGCTGGACGAACTGCACCTGGTAAATTCTGTCCCTGGCCTTCGAGGATCGATGAGAGAGATTCCTGGACGTTTTCGGTAGGTTTTTGGCTGTTTTTGGGCCTTTTCGGGCCTTTGGAGCTCTAGAGACCTCCTGGGACTGCCAGGTACGTCTGGAAACCTCGAGGGGCGGAAGCTAAACGTCTCAACTAGCCTCTGCTTGCCCCCCTCCAATCTTCGAGCTTCTCATCGGCGTCACTGTGCTACTTCTGGTGGCCGTGCCCGCGGTACTGCTTGTTTCGGTCCTGCTGCTGATTCCCGAGCTGATCACCAGCAACACTGTGCTAGTCTCTGAATTGGTAGTCGCGGTGATGATCGTAAGCGTCACGCTGCGTCACATTGAGCCCCCCCATGATTCTCATTGGCTTCGTCCCTGCCTATGCCCCTGCCGCGACTTCCTCTCGTCCCCCTTGCCCTCCTTGTCCCTTCCATCTGTTGCCCTCTCTTCTCTTTCTCCCGGGACGGCCCGACGCTACCATCATAATGACGTTCCCTCTACCAATTTCGATGCGCGCAGCAACAACAACTTTATGTGCCTCGCCACATGAGAGTGCGCTTTGGATCACTCGTTGGAGAACTGAAGCTCTAAGTTTCATTCATGCGCGCAGGTGCTCCAGTAACACATTCAACGCTATAAGCTGAACGCAAGTATGGAATCTGGGAGCGAATGGGATTCGCATATGGTCGCACTAGGTGGCAAGCCCCCAGGTGCTCCTCAAGGCAGCCCTCACAGGTCCCAAGTCAACTACAAGGTGGCCCAGGATGGTCCAAGGCAGCTGAAGAAGCCCAAACCCTTCAAACAACACATGTTTGTTAAACGAAATGATGTTGAATTGATCTCTTTTCGTGCGTATGTGCCTCAGAGGACTCAAGATGGCTCCGACGTTGCCCAGTCTAGCTTCACATGGAACCCAAAAGAGCTGCAAGAGGGATCCGATGCAGGAGCGCCCCAATAGAGCGCCGACAACGCGCCACGCAAGACACTGACACGCTTAAAAGCAAAAATATTTGGGGGGCATCATAAGCAGAAAACCCTAAACCCTGCTCTGTGTCCCTCAATAGTTTTGGGGCCCCGGACTGCAGGTACCCCCCGGACTACAAGTACCCCTCCCCCGGACTACAGGTACCCCCCCCCGGACTACAGGTACCCTCCACCGGACTACAGGTCCCCCACCCCGGACCACGGCCCCCCCCCCCCCCCCCCCCCCCCCCCCGGACTACTGGCACCTCCTCTCGGACTACAAGTACCCCCCCCCCAGACTACAGGTACCCCCCCCGGACTACCTAGCCCCCGGAACTACAAGCCCCCCCGCGTTCGCTACGTAGTCTCTGGAAGCCAAAGCGGCCCGCCAAGATGCGTCCGCACATGTTCACTTAGGCGTGCTAAGAAATTCGCCATCGTTGGGCCAGCGGTCGAGGCTGAGCACTCTCGACGGACGAGTGGGCACGGAAACGAAAAGATAACGAGGAACGGAACGATATATCTACAAAGAAACAGAAAAATAAGCAGGGTCCTGCGGAGGTCCCGCGCGCGTAAGTACTAAACACCCGCGTGCGTGGAACCACGTGTGCTTTGAGGCATGACCATATGCCCCCCCCCCACCCCCGGACTACAAATACCCCCATGCGCGCCCCCCCCAGACTACAGGTACCCCCCCCCCGGACTACAGGTATCCCCCCCCGGACTACAAGTACCCCCCCCCCGGACTACAGGTACCCCCCCCGGACTACAGGTACCCCCCCCGGACTATAGGTACCCCCCCCTACTACAGGTACCCCCAAAACTATTGAGGGACACAGAGTAACGTTGTCCCAAATGTCCCGCTGCAAAGACTAAAAGGCTCACGCGAGACTTCCAAATTAATCCCAGAGGTTTCCATAAATCCCCAAGCCCATGCCACCGTCGAAATGAGCGCTACGTTCCACGTGCACTTGTATGACCCCTCGTGGCCTTACCCTCTCACCCAAGGCACGTTCCAACATGACTGAAAACCAACAGTGATGTAACATGGGCCAGGGGAATTGTCGCAACGGTTATACCAATCGTGGCACCCTTTACTCGGAACGTCGCCCAATGCATACTACACATGGCCATGAACGTCTCAGAGTCTCCGGACGCCCGTCAGTGTCCAGGAGCAGACGCGGCTTTCCAGCAGGAACGCCAGGCAGATCGAGCAGAAAGCAGCTGGAGGTAGGGAGGGAAGGGAGGGAAGTAGAAAAGGGAAAGGCAGAGAAGAATCACCAGATAGAGCGAGAGAAGAATACGTTGGATATCCATCAAGACAACGATGAGATGATCGGGCTGCTACGCGCCAAATAATACTTGTTCGGTTCTGCCAACGCTGTCTGGAATATGAGATGTCTATCGATTTCCGTGTCTCCCTGTCGATTCCCCCATCCCAAGAAGGAATCCTGATGGGCCTGTGGGAAATCATTGTGGGCCCTGTGGGTCTTTTTTCGGACCTTGCCGACGCGGTGCCTCAAACACTTCCTTGCTTCTTTGTTCCCGCGCTCCACAGGCCGGACACATGCTTCGGGCCTGTGGAACGATTGTTCGGACCTTGCCTGTTTTTTCTTCTCGCCTCGCGCGTAATCTCCAGGGATGATCGGTCGCCTTACTCACGATGGACGCAAACATACGTTGACCATTCTGAAATTCGTTCAAGCAACAACTTTCTGGACCACTCGAAGAGGAAGATGGAACGAGGTGGATCATGTATAAGGTGGCATATAGCTCGCCTTCTCCCGCATGTGGGTGATGATCTGCACGGTGACAATGGTCTTCTTCCTTCGGGCTCTACGCTGAACAGTGCTGGCGAAATCCTACCGGTGGTCTGTGCTTGCGCTCCTTCACCGCACCTCGATATGCACGACCCGTGAACGGGCTGTCGCTTCATCCGGCCACCTTGCTGCTGAAGGGCGACTGCAACGCTAACCGCCGCATGCACTGCGTGTAAGTTGCTGTGGCCGGGGCGTGCGTGGCAAATGTTGCACATGGCAGGCATCGTGGCGGGAAGTCTCTGCAGGCCCTCGAAACGCCCGACTAGATTCAGAAACGCCCCCGGATCTTGTCGCTTGAGCCTACTCCTGGATTTTGCACGTGACACACACGGCGCTGCACGGGACTCTCCCCGTCCATCCTGAGGATGGACCTACTGCTTCGCCCATCCTCCCTGGATATCGAGCAGTGCTTCCGTCAATCCGCTGTTCCCTGCCGCCCCTCGGGGGCGTGGCCCATGGCTCCTGGGCGCGTGTGCGCTCTACGTTGATGTCCTCCTTCTCCTACCCCTCCTCCTCCTCCTCCACAATTGCACATTCAATGTTGCACATTATTAACGCTACTCTCTTCTCTTCCCTGGCCCTGTCCGGAAAATGTTCGGCTCTCGCCCGGTCCCGTCTTGTAAACACAGGAATTTGCAGTCGTCCTTGTTTGTTGGTGCTGAAATCCGAATGTTTTCGGTGTTTCAAAACGGCACGGTGTTCCCGCTGCAGCGTGGGCCTCATGTTCGGATCGGCACTTTGCCCCCGTCGTTCGGACTGGCGCTCCCGCCCCAGCGCAAGCCACGTTTCTGGATCCGGAATCATTTTACATCGTTGTCGCCGCCCTCATTTCCCCTCCTCCGCCTTCCCCTGGTCCTCCCGCTCCTCCCGCCCTTTTCCACTCGAGCTCCTTTTGTTGCTGTTCGTCCTCGTCCTCCTCCTTCATCATCCTCCTTCTTTTCCTGCTGCTCATCGTCATGCTGCGCATCGTCATGCTCATCGACCACCTCCTCGTCCAATGCGCGCGAATCCTTTTTTTGTCCAATTGTGCATACACACGATGGGGTCCACGTTGGAACTCCGGGTCCGCTACGACACGCGTCAGCGGATCGATAAAACACAACGCATTTACTCCGACGGTAGGGCCCCCCCGCATGCTAATCGATTTAGCTTGCCCTTCGCCTTTTTCTGTTTCGTTTGGCGGAATCCGCCCTTTCCGTCCGTTCATCGTCGTCCTCCTTCTCCTCCTTTTCCTCGCTATCTTTCCCTATTCCTTCTCGTCCTACTCGTTGCATGTCTCATCCTCTTCCTCTTCCGCCTCATGCTCCTCCTCCTCCGTTTCTTCCCCCTCCCTCTCCTCCTCATGATCCTCCTTTTCCTCCTCGGCCTTTGCCTTGCCTTCCTCCACCTCCTTCCCTCTTTCTCCCCCTCCTCATCGCCGCCCCGCTCGTTCTCCTCCTGCACTTCTCCTTCCTCCTGGCAGGGGCGCGCGCGTAGATTTTCCTCGGCGCCCTCGCCGCTGCGCCTGGCAGGGGCGCGTTTTCCGACGGCGAAATCGCGCGGCCGTCGGGGGCAGCCCCGCGGGCCAGGCCGTCGGGGTAACCCCGCGAGCCGCTGGCGCGCAAAACCAAGCCGTTGGGGCAACCCCGCGGGCCCCGAGCGGGGCGCCGCCGCGCTCCGGCGGGGGGCAGCGCGAAGCCCTGTTCTGCCGCGAGCTGCTCCGCCTCTGCCCTGGGGCATTCTGCTCTGACGTCGGACTCCAGGAGCGCCTTCCGCGGGGGCGCCAGCGACCCTCGCTCCAGGAACTCTCGCGGCGGCGGCCGCGGGATCAGCGCGTTCCGCGCGCGCTTGGCGCGGGGGGGCATGGTGTGGAGATGCAGCCGCCGCTGCTCGCCCGACGTGCCCGCGCGACCAGCGCCCCCACCCCTCGCGGAGTCGATGGCGGCGCCCTTGCGCAGCGTCTGGCCCCGCGACGGCGTGGAGGCGAGGTGCGACGCGCGCGTCGTGGTGAACCCCGTGCGGACCGCCGGGCCAGAGCACGAGCGAGCTCCTCGCCCGCGCCGTCGCCCTCGGCGCCTTCGGCGCCCCGTGGTAGCTCCTCGGCGACCTCCTGGCATATTGCAGACTCCTTGAAGCCGCGCACCTGCAACCCATTTTTCACGCGGTAGGTGGCGGGGCGGAAAAGCTGGCCCCTCGAGCGCCCCTCGCGCCGCTGCTCGCCCGCTGGGTGAAACTCGAAGGATGCGATGGTGGCTCGCGGTTCCCGCGCGAACCCCAACTTCTGCTTCGGCTCTTCCTGCGCTGCCGTGAGTCGCCTTTCCGTGCCGGCGTTGGCCGGCAAGATGCCGCAGATGTCCCCCGTGTTGCGCATGTTCGGTGCGTTCAGGAGGCGCTGGCCCGCGTCGGGATCGCCCCGAATCGCGCTGCGCCCGCCCACGGCCTGCAAGAAAACTAAGGGCGCGCCCAGGCGTCGCGCGTCGCGACGAGCGCGCGCGCTGATCCACCTCGCCAGCGTTTCCCAGTGGACGCCCATGCAGTAGCCGAGCCGAAAGTTCTCGCGGCGGTGCCGAGGGCCCAGGACGCCGCGGTTGTCCGAGGCCGACGTCGCGACCCACGCGGACCAGACCTCTGGCGGGAAGGGCTTGCGCCCGCGCGTGCAGCCCAAGAGCGCGATCAGAGGGTCACCGGTCTCGAAGCGCTTGGTGCGTCGGCGGGCTTCGCGTACTTGTAGGACCCGTCGTCTGGGAGCTCGCTCAGGTCCGTCAAGAGGCCGATGCTGCCCCTGGGCTTCAGCCGCAAGAAATCGCCGAGGTGCAGCGCGATGGAGACGCACCCGAAGTGGTGGTGCGGCCGCTTGTACGCGGACTCCTGCACGCCGCGCGTGTTGCTGCGTCCGCGGCATGCGCGAAAGTCCAGCGCGATGCGCAGGGCGGCCGCTACCCGCCTGATACTTCTATCCTCCAGATCCAAGCATCAAGGGCCCAAAAGTGACGCCAGCTCCAGATTCCGATGGCCCGCTCGGATCAAACGCGTGAGCGGCGGGCCCCATGGGGGGGGGCTCCCGCCTGAGACTTCCAGGCCAGTCACTCACACGCGAGGCCCCCGCCTGATACTTCCTCCATGTTCAGGCCGCTCGGATTGAAAACATGAGCCGCCTGATACTTCCTCCACGCGCAGGCCTCAAGGGCCCAAAATGACGACAGTTACAAAATTCGAATGGCCCGCTCGGATTAAACAAATATGGGCAGCTGGCCCATAGGGGGAGGGTCTCCAGCTCAGGGCTCCTCGCAATTCACTCACCGACGGGGCTCCCGCTTGACACTTCCTCCATATTCAAGCCTCAAGGGCCCAAAACTGACGACGGTTACAAGATTCCGACGACCCGCTCGGATTAAACGCGTGAGCGGCGGGCCCCATCGGGAGGGGGCTCCCGCCTGAGACTTCTTAGCAATTAACTCACAGACGAGGCTATGTTGACGATGGTGTTGAATTGATGCACTTTGCACCGTGCCCTCAAGGCCCCCCCTGCGCCTGAGGCGGCACGTCAAGCCGCTGGAGGAAACGTCTTGCAAAAGCGCCTCGCGTGAGGCGCGAGAAGATTGAGGTCAGCGCAGTTGGCGTGCAATCGGGCGAACGCGAGCTAACCATTCTGCCTTGCTGCACTGACCCGCGTCCGCGAGCCAATCGGAGCCGGGCAGTCGGGCGAGGTCCACTCCCCAACGCCAGGCCTTGAATCGGCGGCCATGCGTCTGGGATCCGTGCTCGCGCTTCATTCTCTGAAGCCAGGCCATGCTGCGCCATTGCAGCAGATGGACAGGCACAAGCTGGGCAGGAGAGACGTCTGGCAGGGCGGCCTGGCGGGCTAGGTGTCCAGCCCAGGTAAGTCTGCGAAGATTCACGTCTATGTCCCATGTCGCGTGGGGCTGGAGAGCGGCGGAGACGCGGCGCCAACGGCGGCGACAGAAGTCCACTGGTGACTTATCCTTCCATCTCTGCGTGCAAATCAGCTGAACAAGCATTTTACGGTGCGTGGCACGAGTTCGATTCAGACCCTTGACAGCGGGGCACCGCAATCCCGACCCATGGAGCCAGACTGGCTTGATGGCTCGCTCGAGCAGCTTCGCGGCCTGCTGCCAGCGGCAGGCAAGTCGAAGTAGAGACGTCCCGAGAGCGCAAAAGGCCCCCCAGGCGCGAGCTACCCTGTGCTGTGTGTCCTTCCAAGACCTTCCATCGAAAGTGAAAATGGGGCCGAGGCACGGAAAACCCTCGGCACGAGGCGCTCGCATCAGAACGCCGTCCTTGACCTCCATCTGGTAGTCGGTGAACTCGCGGTCCAGCGCCGTCGTGCCCCAGGTCAGACCTGAGGGAGGTGCGCGCCAGCCACGAGCTCGCAGGATGCGCCGCCAGGCCATCGTCATCTGGCGCAGCGACCTGGCAGTGCCCACGGACAGCCAGAGGTTGTCGGCGTAGAGATGTCCCGCCTCGCACAGCGTCGCCTCGCCCGGGAACTCGCGGCCTGGGCCGCGTGTCCAGCGCTCGCCCAGGAACTCCTCCCAAGCATATTCCAGCACTAGGTTGAAGAGGATCGCGCTGGCTGGGCCCTCTTGTCGAATGCCGCGAGTCCGGGGTGCAGGTTGCGTCTGGATCGAGCCCATCTTGACCACCCCCGAGGCCTCCAGCCCCCTCATGATGGCAAGGATCACGGGCCTTGGCACAGCCCCTCTTCTCAGTGTCTCCTCAGCCGAGCGGCGCGAGACGCGGTCGCAGGCAGCCTCGAGACCGCCGTCCATATTGAAGATGGGTCGGTTCCACTCGCGGGCCTTCTCCGCCAGCATGCGCATGCTGAAGATCACGTCCGTCGCTTGGTGGAACTTCCGATATGCGCGCGGTGGGCTCCGCAGGGTCAGCTTGTTGGCGAATTCCCTGATCGGGCCGACCGAGTAGAACATCTCGAAGGTGGTCAGGGGCATGATCGGCCTGCACCCCTTGAGCGTGCGCTTGTCTCCCCTCTTCTTCTTCATGAGCTGGATGATGTGCTTCGA